TTGGGTTCTTTTAAATCAGAGCTAGATAAGATTTTAACAACTCTGAGCTATTAGTTAAGTTCTCCCCAAGCGAGCTCGATGGGCCGAATGGCCTCCTCTCGTTTGTATAGTTCTTATGTAAAAAGTTCCCAAACACTGATAGATTTAATTTTCACAAATAAACCAGATAGGATAACCAAAACATATAATTTAATTACAGGTTTGTCAGACCATAACCTCACATTAGTCAGTAGAAATATAAATAAAATGAGATATCAGAATGAGCAACAGAAATCAAATAATTATAAAATTTCTCATATTTCTAGGACTAACCAGAGTCTTTTGACATATGAAGTAGATACGATTGATTGGAATAGTATAATTTGTAATAAAACTTGTGATCAATCATGTGACAACATAACATCTGTCACGCCCAGCTGGCCGCACACCCGAGGTGCCTGCCGAGGCACCCCCTGCTGGCTACGTGATGGCGGCGCCCGCCGAGAGGCCCCCTACTGGCCACATGACGGCGGCGCCCGCCGAGGCGCCCCCTGCTGGCCGCACGCCCGCGGCCCTGACCGGGCATTGTTCTTGAGCTAATCTAAAGACCATATGAAGTTTGGAGGTCTGTAGCTATTGATTCTGCAGACAGTTGGCGACTTCTGTACACTGTGTGCCTCAGCATACATTGTCCACACTCTGTGATTTTACATGTCCTACCACTTTGTGGCTGAGTTGCTGTTGTTCCCAATTGCTTCCACTTTGTTATAATATCACTCACAGTTTACCATGGAATATTTAGTAGCAAGGAAATTTCACAAATGGACATTTTGCAAATGGTGGCATCCTATCACAGTACCACCCATGAATTCCCTGAGCTCAAGGCAGCGACCCATTCGTTTGCAAATATTTGCAGAAGCAGTCTGCATGCCTAGTGCTTCATTTTATACACCTGTGGCTATGGAAGTGATTGGAACATCTGAATTCAATGATTTAGAGGGGTGCCCTAATACTTTTGGCAATGCAGTGTATCTTGGTATGCTGAAGCATTAAGAGTTCCCTTCACTGGAACTAAGGGGCCTAGACTAGCTCCTGAAAAACAACCCCATACCATTATCCCTCTTCCACCAAACTTTACAGTTGACACAATGCAGTCAGGCTGGTAAGGTTCACCTGGCAGAGATTAAGACAGAACCTGTTTGCAGTGCTCCAGAGTCCAGTGGCAAAGTGCTTTACAACACTCCACCCGAAGTTTGACATTATGCTTGGTGATCTGAAGCTTGCATGCAGTTGCTCAGTCATGGAAGCCCATTCCATGAAGCTCCTGGCACAGTTTTTGTGCTGGGGTTAATGCCAGAGGAAATTTGGAACTTACTAAGTCAACAGAGTGTTGGTGACTTTTACGCACTGTGCGCCTCAGCACTAGGCGAACCTGGGGTACCGCAGGGTTCAATTTTAGGACCACTATTGTTCCTAATTTACATTAATGATATTGACACCAATACATACAGTAAACTGGTTAAATTTGAAGACGACACCAAGGTGGGTGGTGTATCAGATACTGATCTAGCAGCAGAGAGGCTACAACGGAATCTGGATTTAATTAGCGACTGGGCTGATACTTGGCAGATGAAATTTAACACAGATAAATGTAAGGTAATCCATATGCAGGGAGCAGAAATATAAAGTACAGATATTTTATGGATTCCACTGAAATAAAGGTAGCTGATTACGAGAAAGATCTCGGTGTGTA